CACACTTCTGCTTCAGTGTTTCTGCCATCAACCAGCTATGTGAAATAACCTAGTTGTCCTAGCTTAGGTATTGTTAACCCATTGATTAATAACTGCAATTCACACTTGACTCCTAGGGGTATATTTCTGTGAACATGTAGATGACAGGTGGGATTCATCAACTGGTGACTGGAACTACAGCCTAAATGATACTTTCTCATTATAGTGTAATTTGTAAACAGACTGGCTTTGTCTGTTTAATACTCATGAGCTAGGGGCTGTAGGTTCCATCCTTAAGTTACTCAGGGAGGTAAACTTGGTTCTTTCCCAAATAGCACAATCAGTTCTACGTCATTGTCTCAGTGGTGTTGTGGGTATGAATCGCCCTCCATGCCTGGCCTAGTCCAGCCTGCATAAGCTAGAGAAGTGAGCAATGAGCAGCCACAGGCTCCAGGAAAATAAAGACTAAAATCCTCCAGCCAAATGGATTCACGGAGGGCAAGAGGTGCATCTTCTTTCATCTTCATCTTCATCCCTTTATCTTCTTTTCCTCCCTAGAAAGTAAAACACTTCATGGGCCATATGTAACTTCTAGGAAATTTAATTCAAATTGGCTGGGCCAGGACATTTTAACTTCTAGATACAATGGCTGATTAGAACAGCATTGGCAGTAATGTATAAGCAAGATGTCTTGAGCTGCTGAATATGAAAAAAAATGACATTATAAACTTTTAGTGGCTTCTAAATAAACAGAATCTTCTTTTATTCTGAATATATTATGGTGGTACACCAACTTTTAATATTGGCTTTGCCATTTAAATACTACCTATCTCTTTCTAAGGCAAATTATTGAGCCCATCCAAATCTCATCCAAATAGAAATAATAATACCTATCTTGTAGTATACTAGTGAGAAATAAGTAGAAAAATATGTATCTAGTAATTGGCACAGTGTTTATCACAGTGTGCACTCAGTGTTAACTATGATGGTTTATATTTTTATTCTAAACATTCGCTAGCTAAAGAGAACTTTGCCAAGCTAAGGAGGACTGTGCCAAGACTCCAGGCACTCAGAAGAGAAAGTTCCTATTTCCAGGTTACACCCTAATCGCAAACATTCATAATGGCTTGAATGCAATAATAATTCTTCAGACCTGGCTAATTTGCCACTGGGGAGCTTAGAAGGGTAATGCTTAATGAGAAAATGTACAACCAATCTGTATATGTTCTTTCTAGAACTTGTCCAATTCCCAAGGAGCAAAGCCCAGTTCAATATAAAAGTGCTTTGGAAAGCTAAAAACACTGCAGAGTGAAAGCTAATGGGAGAATAACTAATTTTCTCCCTTCAGTGTGGCCCGAGCAGTCATTTCTTTCCTTGACCTCCTCTATACCACTGTCACTAAAACCTTACCACTGCTGAGTCAGTAGGAAAGAAATATCATCTCTTAAAGTTAGAAATTCTAGAGTTCCAGAAATCTTGACCAAAGCATCTTGGCATTTTTCTCAGCATCTTCAGTCTTTTTAGTTATACCTCTAAAACAGATGCTCCAGTTGCCAATGGGGCTGTCTAAAACTAAAGCTGCAGTCCAAATAATTACCTGAATAAAGACAGAGGAGTCAGAAAAGAAAGCTCATTGAACTAAAAGAAAGCCCAGTAATAAGTGGTTGCCCAATATTCTATAAGCAAATTCTGCCCAAAGATGCAGAGAAAAAAAATTTTGGATCAATTTGCTGAAGGTAAATAAAACATTAACCAGTCAATTACAGTATAAACAAAAGACCTCCTGGTTCATTCACACATCCATGTTTATTTGTTTGCTTGCACATTATCTGTTTCCTTTACAAGAATTTAAGTGCCACAGGGAAGAAACCACAGGTGTATCATTTTACCATTGTAACTTCACTACTTGCTACTGTGCCTGATATATAGTAGGCACTCAAAAATGTATTGAATAAGCATTATTTTATTTAAGAGGAATATAAATCTCTGTTACAAGCTGCCCTCTCCAGAAGCAGATGCTGGAAAAGGTTTGGGGTGGGGCTGTGATTCCACTAGATACCTCCCACCCTTGCAAATCACACAGTGGAACTACCGGGAGAGCCCTTCCTCCTTTATCATCCCTCCAAGGCCATCAGCTGAGAAAACTTGGCATTTCGCTGCTCACAGGAAAGGAGTATGCTCTAGAGGTGTCCATCCATTATTGAAAAATAGGTATAGAAGGATGAATTTAAAAGATGAGAAGCAATTACACATGCACACGTGTAATTTTTCATAATCCTCATAAAAATGCTATGTGGAAAGAATAAAAGACATTGATAGTTTATAGCTGAGATTCAGACAGTGTAGATAATTTGCCTAAAGTCACACACAAAGTGGAGGGAGCCAAGATTTAAATCCAAGGGGAATGACCCAGAGCTGAGGTTCTTGTCGGTGTGATGTGCCTGCCACTGCTTCCTATGCATATATGCGTGTGCTTTGTGTACATATCACTGGTCAACCCATGGTTATTTGAAGAACTATGTCTTTCTTTTTAAGGGGAAGAGGTATGATTTCCTATAGCCACGAAGGTCTAAAACCTTTCTGGGATGCAGCCTGCACCTGGCCTGTCACACCAGCACTGATCACCCCACTCCAACGTTCCTCGGCCGCCGCCTGTGGTTGTCTGATGTGGCCGCAGCTAAGGAAGCTCTGGACAATAGTTAGAAACCAGAATGGAAAAATCACATCATCGTTCTTTCTTCCTCTTTGGCACCCAAGAAACTTTTGGGGAACCTTTAGTAAAAAACATTAAGATGCTTAATATAAAATGTGTAGCTCTTTGAAAATCTTCTGCAGCAACATTTTAGAATTTCTAGTCAGAGACAAATCTATGTCTTTATACAATTTTATCACTGTCACAACTATGAAAAGTATTAGAGATGAGTTTTCTGGAGCTGGGGCATCTCTGGGCTTTGGTCAAAACTGTCCTTCCTTATTCTTTTTATCAGTTGGTCCTTGGACATTTGTATCCTATTTTGTAAATCTCACGACACGATCATTTCCTCGCTTACTAAGTCCCTTTCTCTCACGGCCCTTGTTTCCTAACTGCCAATCAAAGCTGAAAGTGGCTCTGAAGACAGCGCAGTGGAGGTGAAGTGAGCACTGCAGTCCCCCAGTTCTCTCGACCACCCTTCAGTACTGACATTTGTATTAGTCATTTGTGGTCTTGGATTCTGTTTCTGAATTTGTTGAGGCTGAATCTGCTTACTTGGCTTTAATAAAATCGGTGTGTTTTAAAATAGAAACTTCTAAATAAAGCTCAGTAGACTAAAATGGTTTTATAAATGCGCTGGAAGTCTTTCCTCTGAGATGGACTAAGACAAGGAGGCCCACCTTTGCCGTTTCTATTCACCAGGGTATCAAAGTCTTAGCCAGAGGTATTAGGCAAAAGAAGAAAGGAGACTGACTTCCTGGTCATTCAGAGTGCTGCTGCCGCCCAGGAGGTCGTGGCCGGCAGTCAGCTGCCCTGTAAAGGATTGCAGATTGCTTGGACCCCCTCCACCCTCCAGAAACAGTATTTCTTAACCTGCATTAAATGCACTTTATAAGAAATGCTGATGTGAGTTTTTATTATTAACTTTTCCACTGCTGGGACAAAATACCTAACACCAGGGAAAGGCTTATTTTTTTAAGTTATGCATTTTAATTTTAAATTCATGAATATTACTATACAAAGTAGGAGTTAAAGCATTAGAGTGTAACAGTGATAAATCTGTTTGTCCTGTAAATGTCATGCACTGCTCTCTGCCTTGAATACAATGGGCCCTGGCAGTTCAAAGCCTCATGTTTCAAATAAGTGGAGGCACTTCAGGGTTATCTTCGAAGTCTGGGGCTTCCTCACTTGGTGCAGTTTGGGGTCTCCTGGACGCATGCTTCTTCTCTTGAACTATGGACGTCGCATCAGGGAATGAATGCTTGCTAGGATCGACTTCTAGTTTCTCGATTCGCTTGCTGCTGGTGTGGGTCTGCTCTCTACTGTCATCTGAGGTGGTCTTCACAGACTTGGATGTTCGTCGGCTGCCTGTGATTACTTCTTCTACCTTGGGCGTGGAGATCACTAAATGTCCCATCGTCTGTGATCTTTTAGCAGAGCTGCTGTCACGCTTGACCTCTGCAGGAAGGACTAGCTGAAAGGGCTTTCCCTTCACCATTACTCGTACATACATTGGCTAAACGTCAACCTCAATTGAAGAGGTATCCATATACCTACTTGGGCTCATTGACATTCAGGGCCTCCCCGGACTCAGTACTCAAAGTCCGCGGTGGCTTCACTTCCTTCTTTTTTTCTCTTAATTTTTCTTGTTCTTTCTGTTTTTCCATGTATCCAAGAGTTTCCAGTCTAGATTCAGTAGTAAACACAGAGGGTTTGTTCCAGAATTCCAGGTCATCTTCTCTTTCATTTAATTTCTTTAATTAAATGTCATGTGCTTCTTGTATTTCTGTACCTGGACGTGGCCAGGAAAGGCTTATTTTGACTCATAGTTCCAGAGGGTTTCATCCACCATTAGCTGGCCCTGTGGCAGAAACTGCATGGTGGAAATGTTTGACAGGGAAAGTTTCTCAACCCATGGCAGCCAGAAAACCAGAAAATGGAAAAAGAGAGGAGGTGCCAGGGATAAGAATCCAGCCTTCCAGCCAGGACCAGTGACTCACCTTTTCTCAGCAGACCCTGCTCCTCACATTAATCCACTGTTAAGCTTGTATAGTTCCCCAAGTTCCAATTGCCCCCCAAAGCACTACCTCTGAACACATGAGACCTTTGGTGGACATTTAGATCTAAACAATGACACCACTGTAGTGTAGTGGTAAAAGCACAGATCTGGAAAGTGAGCAGAGCTGGTTCAGATTCTAGCAGCTGACTCAACCTCTTTGAGACTCTGCTTTGTTATGTATACAGTGAGATCATAATATCAATCTCCTAGGGTTTCAGTGAATTTCAGGCAAGACGATGCCCATGAAGAGCTCATCACCATGCTCAGCAAAGGGTTCTTGTTGTTGGGGTCTCTATTTGGCCTTTAGAATTTCCATGAAAGCCCTGATTGGACCACATGTGAAGAAAAGAGGCCTGGAGGGGTTGATCAGACACTGTCTTGGAAACCCGGAGGCAAAGCTTCTACCGTTTCAGTCCTTGTTCCCTGCTTGACATATGAGCGTCAAGGATGTGTGGATGGGGAAGCCTGGGGCAGCCGTCCTCCTCCATATGTGCAGAGACAGAGGTTCAGCACGAGGTCAGAAAGAGAAGTATGGAGCTGGGGTGCAGAAATAGAGAAATGAGAGAACATATGGCTTGAGGGAGAGAAAAAGAGAGAGAATGGATGTTTAATTTTTCAACTCAGTCTCTTCAGAGGTCAGACTATAATTAACAACCTCGAGCTTCACAAAATATGTATGTATCTTTAGACCATAATCTCCTTTATATTTCAGCTCATGTGAAGGAACATGTTAATTGTAACAAAAATGAATCCTTGACTAAGACAAAAGCAGCTTCAATATTGTTCCGATAAAAGCTCCATTCCTACCATTGTCTGCATGGAGACCTTGGCAGCCAGGACTGTCCCCTCTCACAGCCTTCCCGAGTTCTTATCTTCTTAGCATCTTTCAAACAGAGCACCTTGGGCCAGCTACACTAATGATCACGGCAGGGGGATGTTTACCTGTTCAGCATAACCACTTACAATAATGAGGACGGAGATAAGGTTGTCCATGGTTCACAGACAAAGAGCCCATAACTCCTCCTTTATACTAATGAGAGATACTACTCCCTGGAGTCTAACGAGATCAGAGCGGAAGGTAAGTCTGATCATTAGACTGTCTTTTGATGAATTTATTTTGCTAGTATAAGAAGAAAAAAAATGGTAAGATTGCAGATCATTTATAGAGGCAGCAAGTGTTCGTCATGAGTCTGCTTCTTATCTCTCTTCACCCTGCTGTGGTGGAGCTGGTCAGATGGAACATAGGGGCTCTGAGCTGGGCTTGCTTATGCAGAAGAGATTTAGTTAACGTCACAGGAAGACATCAACTACACATGTCTCTCATACACTGAGGGGACAACGGAGAGTATCTACCTCTGTACCCCACCATGCACGGGCTCCGTGAGGCAGGCTTAAGACTCTGTCCTTAGGATTCAGAGGAGTACCATGTTATTCAAGGTGGCACTCCACAGACCTGCAGATATCCAGTGTAGCAGGGACAGGAATGAAATATAACTATTAAACAATATGGGCTGCACTAAAGAAGTTGAATTATACACCAAAACAGGAAAGAATAGGTGTCATATCTGCAAAATCCCTCCAAAGAGGCTCATTTTATTTAAAAATGATACTTCTTTCATGTTTTTATTCATGGGGGAATTTTTCCAAGTGCCTCCAATAAGATCCAGGAGTGACAATTAAATGCTGGGGTTTCATACAATGTCTGAGGGCCACACGTTGCACACCCTGTTCACACCCTGTGCCCTCCAGTTTGTCCAAGTGACACACCATTTAGGGAGGCAGTACCGAGGAAAGGGGACATCTGAGGTTGTTCAGGCACTCAAAACAATCACAGCTTCATCAGAGGGCACACAGTAGTAGTCACAGTATCTCTGGGATGATTGTCATTATTTTGTAGATAGAACAAAAATGAAGTTAAAATAATTTTTAAATGTCTGACTGGTATCTATTTTATCTATTTCTATGTGTTTATCTCTTTCTCTTAAACTGTGTTTAAGAGAATCAGAGTAAGGTCATCCATGGAGTGGAGTTTAGTTTTATTAATTTTTAAAACCTTTATTCATTTTCACATTTACTTCTTCTATTATTTGGTTAAAAAGAATCTGGTCCAACATCCACATGACATAAATTAAAAGCTGAGGCCAAGGGAGGTAAAGCAGCCTTGTCCACGAGGACAGATGGACACCCACAGCCAGTCTTCCTCATCCTCAGGCTGAACGCTGGCTCTGTCCACGATATGGTTAATGCTATTTCTTAAATTCCTGCAAACAGCAACAGAAATGCTCAGTGAGGGCTAATCTGCTCTTTGCTGGGCACCTTCTCCATCGTGTCTGGATTATTCTCTGGGAACAGTTCGAGCCATGGGACAGCATGTTTCCTTACTTCTGAGGCCATGTCCCACAAGAGGCTTGACCATGATACACCAGTGTGAAGCCGCTTAAAGAAACCATTTTACATAAACAAGATGCCTGTTGCTGAACTTTCTAGAAAGTTAAAGTTATATATATTAAAGTTAAATGTAACTTGCCACTGGAGAAGGATCTGTCTAGTTGTGAATAGGAAGTATACACTTGTTTCATACATGCTTTGTCTTCCTGTTTTCTCAGCATCCTTGAGGAGTTTGACACTGACTATGACTTCTACCCTGCGCAACTCTAGAGGGGCATCAGCTATGGGGCCTGGGGTCCCTGACCACTGCTTAGGTAGAGGATCCATGATGTGACTTGCTGTCAGTCAGATCCTCCCTCCAGCTGAAAGATCTAGTGGCAGAATCCTGGAGAGACTACTTAGAGTTCCTGCCACCAGGCCCACCGAGCATGGCTGCCTTGCCTTTCCCTACACTTGGAACTTCAGATCTTTAATTCCAGGAGTCATCTAATATTCGTATTTGTCCCTTTAATTATCTGTCTATTGCTTAAGTTGCTACACTAGATAACTTACTTGCAATCAAAGAGCTCTAGTCTTGCTGAACTACTGAGTATGGATATGATCTAGAGAATTTCCTTCCCTTTTTTGAGCTTTAATATTCTTGTCTATACAGTGGATGCCATGTTTTGGACTGGACAGCCTCTACGTGAATGAATACACCAGTGTGATGAGAAAGTGAACAAGCTTTTTAAAAAATAATTATGATTTTGAGTATTGTGTTGCACCTGAGAAGCTGCAGAGATAACTGGGACACCGTGTTAAGATTCCGTTCTGTTCTGGGTACCTTGTTCTTATGTAATCGGCATAGGAGAGTCAGTATTTGTAAGCCTTTTATCCTGAAGTAATAGTTCCCCTCTAGATTTGGATGGAAATCGGGGAGCATGTTGGGACACCACAGAATGGCTTGCTGAGAGATGCTGCGGATGTATTTGCTGCAAGGTTCCTCCTGGCATCCCCAAAGAAGGAAAGACACCCTGTGCCTGGCTTGCTGCCTCCGCAGCTAGTGGTTTGCTTAGTCAGGAACAGCTCCCAGCACATCCCAAGACTGAACCTCAACTCGTCGATGCTTGTAGAAGCCAAGTCAGCCATTGGTGGAATTCTGGAATTGACTCCGATGACGTCCTGCGGACCACAAAGCTCATACAACCAACTGTGGACTCGGTCTGACTTCAGGAAGGAAAGACAGTGGGACATGCCACCTCCTGCCTGCTCTTCTCTACTTGCCTGCAGGCCTCAAGTGATTGCCACTGTGGAATGTGGCTGAACATAGTAAAGACATGGAGGCTCATTGAAAATGTTGTGTGTGACCCAGAAACACCCAGCCCCGTATGTGCTTCTTCATGCATCTCCAGCCTTAAGAAGAAAAATGTATGTGCTTGAGCTTTCTTTTCTTAATTAATAGGAGTTAAGATTTATTGAACAACGTGCTTCATATACTTTATCTTCTTTTAATGCACAACCACTCAGTGATATAAACATCACTACTCATTTTTCAGTTGAGGCTTGGCAAAAAAACCCAAAAAAACAAAGAGAAGAGTGTCACTTCGAGTGTCTGCCTCTCATTCTGGATGTATCTTGACCAGGGTATTCCATGCCGTTAGCCTTGTTTCCTTTGGTAGTGAGGAAGGGGCAAGGAGATAGCTAAGTAGCAAGAGATAAGATGAAGAACTGCACTCTCCTGCTCTGTTTTCTTACCATGCACGACCTACTGCTAGCAGCTCGTAACAACATTCTCCCCTGAGAATAGGCATAAACGTCAGACTTGGTGGCTGAGGCCTCCACGTATAACACGCATCCACCTTGATCTTCTACTTCTTGCGGCTTCAGACATCCAACACTCAGTTATCCGCACTTAGATTTTTAATTCCAGATGGTTTCATCTCAACACCCAGAGAAATTGAGAGCTAAATTTTCCTCTTCCCCTTTTTCCCCTAAGGCACAAATCCTATTTAATATTGAACTGTGCAAAACCGAAAGATAATAGCAAACAAGATATTCCTGCTAAACCCTACCAAGCATTATAAAGTTGAACAAACAGGTTTTGAGCAACTGATTCTCTGCTAGTCGATTCTACCAGCAGAAAATACCCAATCAGACCTCGAGGCCAGAATAAAACGAGTGTGGAAATACAAGGAAGAAACTCCATGAGCATTACTTACATCCTTGCTACTGGCTGTTCTTGAAGCTTTCTGGTTCACATCTGTTATAATTATTATCATTTGGTAAAAACCAAATGCGTGCCAGGTGATACATAGCATTCTATACATATACTATTGTGTTTAACCAGGAGGGTGACAAGAAGTAGATTAAGATGTTCATACTACCCTGAGTAAATGGAGACATACAAATTTGCCCAAAATAAATGCGATAAGTAGTTAGGAACATATAAATGTGACTCCAAAGTAGATCCTAAGCATTGAGCTCAGTGACTTCTGTTCTCCCAAGAAAGGAAGCATTGCTGGTTTCATAAATTATCCCACCTATGGGTTCAATGTCATGTACTTTACAAATATTCAGATATATTCCACCTCCCTCCCTCCTACTTATCAGGCAATAGAGAAAACGTATAAAAATATCCAGCTAGATTTGTCAAACGTCGGCCATTTTTAAAGAATGCAGCAGAGACTCAGTAGATTTCCACGGATAGCAGCTAAGAAAATAATCAATTCTCTGCAAACTCACCTTGCACTTAATGTCATTCATTTGCCCTTGCAGATGGTTTAATAGACTTTCTGGGAACTGCAGGCTCATACTATAAAAGGCCAATGTTGAGAGATGGAGCAAAGCTAAGAAGCTGCACTCTTTGAAATTAAGTAGAAAATCTTTATGGCTATGTGAACCGGGTGATTTAATTAATGTGACAAGAGCATTTGTAATCTCAAGCTATTCATTTATTTCACCAATATTCTATTTTCTTGTCTATGAGAAAGGATAATGATGGTGGTATCTTCACTGGCTTCTGGTGAAGTTAAATTAATCTATGTAAGGATCATGTTTGGCAAAGTGAGCACTCAGGAGATGGTAGCTCTTTTTACTCTTACTATTCTTTTTGTTCTTAATTCAAATGTGTTGAGATTGTAATGATGACAGCTTTCTTTCTTTCTTTCTTTCTTTCTTTCTTTCTTTTTCTTTCAAGACAGGGTCTCACTGTGCAGTTCAGGATGGCCTTGAACTCACTATGTAGCCCAGGCTGGCCTTGAACTCATGGTGATCCTCCTGTCTCAGCCTCCTGAATGCTGGGAATACAGGCATGCGCCACCACACCTGGCTGACAGGTAGTTTCCTATATAGTGGGAATACAATAGTAAATGAAAGCAAAAACTTTATCCCATGGAAGACAAAGCAGAGCATCTAATTGACAGAAATTACAAGTTTTCTATCTTATTTATTACACCGAAGATACTATGATAGTTCACTACTCACCCTATTTGAATTGCCTTAATTAAAAACCCATTCCTGCTCCACATATGGTGGCACCTAGTGGTAATCCAAGCACTTGGGAGGCTGAAGCAGGAGAATTGTGCATTTGAGGCCAGATCCTGTGCTAGGTCCTGTCTCATTAAAAAAATTTATTCCTTGGATCTAAAAGTGCATAGCCAAAACCAGGAGCCTGGTAGAGTGGAGAACATTAAGATCCAAAATATCGCTTTTAGGAAATTTATCAATTATTAAACTCTCCAAGCCTCAATTTACTCACCTTGGAAATGAGCAGAGCACCATAGACTTTGGGAAACTTTTTCTCATTTGAAGAATGATGCTAGATGGCATCATCAAGCTATCCCATTCGCACGTGGCATTGTTAGGCTATTTCTATCAATGATTAAAACTCTAAGCACACATATTTAAGGAAACTGTACAGCAAATCGTGCTCAGAGCTTAAAAACACTACTTTTCTTAATAATCTCAATTAAGAAGTCAGACACCCAAGGGTTGACACATTAGGAGACGGTATCCCAAGTTGGATATTTGGGCAGAGATATGGGACCATCCATGTTTTCAAAATATCTATTCCCCTGTTGGTATTTTTGGTGAACTGGGCAAAATCAAACATATTTCTGCCATTTTTCAGTCACTGAAAACTTGTGGCTTCTAGATTTCCAGGTCCAGCGAGACCCGGGCTTTGTTTGGCCTTACGTTCCATGTCCTGCACTGACGGCGAGAAGAACAAAGGAAGAGCAGCTGCGCCCGCCCCCGGAGCTCAGCCCTGGCCTGGGCGGTGCGCGGGCGGAAGCGGAGGCCCAGGCTGGCTGGCGGAAGCAGCCGGTACCCAGGGCCGTGTCCGCAGGCGACAGGCGCGGGCTCAGAGTCCGGACTCGGCTCACTGCCACTGCCCCTGGCCCGTGACCCCGCGTGCCTCCTCCTGCCTCTGGTAGGGCTGAGATCGCACCGTCGCAGGTGAGGGCGAAGTAGAGCGAGAATGCACACCTGTCCGGAAGAGGCCGTTTCGTGGTGAGTATGTGTCAAGTGAACTAAGATAAGTCAGACCCCCCCAAATTCAAAGACCCAATTCAAAAACGGGCATCTGAAATGAACAGACATTTCTCAGACAAGGAAGTAAAAGCAGCAAACAAATATATGAAAAAATGTTCAACCTCACTGGTCATTCGAGAGATGCAGATGAAAACAACACTGAGATTCCACCTCACCCCAGAAAGAATGGCTGCTGTCATGAAATCAACCAATAACAAATGGTGGCGGGGCTGTGGGGAAAGAGGAACCCTGCTCCACTGCTGGTGGGAGTGCAGACTGGTGCAACCACTGTGGAAATCAGTATGGAGATACCTCAAAGAACTAGGACTGGAAGTCCCATTTGACCCAGCTATTCCACTGCTGGGGATCTTCCCCAAAGAATTAAAAGAATCATACTACAGTGATATATGTGCACCTATGTTCACAGCAGCACAGTTTGTAATAGCTAAAGCTTGGAAACAGCCCAAATGCCCATCAACTGGAGACTGGATAAAGATGTGGGTTTTTTTATAAAATGGAGTACTACTCAGCCATAAAGAACGAAAAACTAGAGTCATTTATAGCTAAATGAATGCATATCGAGGCCATACTCTTAAGCAAAATGAATAGGACACATATGTGTAAATACCGAATAGTTTCACTAGTGTGAGAAACTGATAGCGTAAACAAGGGTTAAAATGATTAAAATGAATAACTGATAATTTGAAATAGGAAAAAAGGTCCAAAGATGAAGGAGTGAAGAGAGGGGAAGGGGAAAGGAAAAACTATGAGAAAAGAAAAATAAAGGAAATGAAGTCTATGTAAATAGGGAAGGATGGAGGGGGTGAAGGGTACACAGGTAATGGGGAAAAAAAATAAGAACCAAGATACAGCATGTACAGGTTCAAACACCCAATGATAAATGTAAATGAATTGTGTACCTAAAGTGTACCAATAAAAGAACTAAAAAAAAGATATGCAGCAAAGTGAAAAAGTCTGTAAACAGGGAAGCCGTGTGAGAGAGCCGAGCAATCCTCTAAGAGGTTTCAAGAATTGTGTGAATGTGTCTACTTTTCAGTCATGGTAGTAACTTCTTATTGAGCTGTATACAAACTCCCTCACTATTTTGCCTCTATTTCCCATGTGAGTAATATATTAAAATGACATCTCCAGGCATGGTGGTGCACACCTGTAATTCCAGCATTCCGGGAGGCTGAAGCAGGAAGGTCACTAGTTTGAGCCTAGCATGGGCAATTTAGCAACTTGGAGACTCAGTAGATGATAGGTAGGTAGATACAGATAGGGCAGATATGATAGAAGGTAGATGAATACGATGGACAGATGGGTAGGTAGCTGGCTGGGGATGTAGCTCAGGGCAAGCCCTGGGTTCAGTTCCCAGTCATGGAGGGGTACCCCTCACACTATACAGACTCACACAATACAACCATATGAGCCCTAAATTGCATTTAGATTCCCATATTCAATCATTTGCTCGATCTTTCCACATGTATTTATGTTACCTCTACTACATATTTAACTTCTCATATGTGGCCACATATACTAATGACAAAGGCCAGAGTAAAAATAAGACCCAATATTATAGTTTCAATCTAAAATGTCCCCTGAAAGTCTCATGGATTCAGACGAGGGGCTTTGGAAGGAGGTCAGATCATGGGGCACTAGTCACAGTGGATTAATTAGCACAGTAGCTAAATGTGCTGTTAGGGGATAGGTCACTGGGGCTGTGACCTAGAAGGTCCAGTATTCATTCTCCCTCTCTCCCTCCCCCCTCCCCGCCTCATTTCTACTTTGGAGCCAGTCAACTATGCTATAAGCTCACTGGAAACTGTGATCCGAATAAACCTCCTCCTTTGAGTTGTGTGTGTTGTGTTGTGTCCCAGTGATGAGGAAAGTTGACAAATATTCCCAGTGTCTGCCTCGCGGGTCCCCTGAATCATTTGAATAAACAATGTGGGGGCCATGTGGTGGCTGGGGAGAGGAAAAGTACCTAAGTCACATTTGGATCATGACTGCAGCACCCCAAGGCCCCTGTGCGGAAGGAAGGCGGGGTACCCAGCTTGGCACGTGGGAGATGGTAGTGGCCCCTTGCCTCAGCCCCAAAAGCACAAAGCCCACTCGTCCTGCTTCCTCTCAGGTATTTGTCAAAGTAATGGAAAACTGACTAGTGCAGAGCCCCCTGTCTCTGCATATGTTTCTAAGGGAATCCCACAGAACCAAACGTCTCAGTACTCTGGCTTTCTAAGCAAGAGTTAGGAGCATCCTCAGAGCCAGCATCTTCTTGAGCTTAGCTGTCTGCCGTGAATGAGGCTCAGAAGTGACATCTGTCACCGCAATGACACCGGCTGCCAGAGACAATTGCATCTCTAAGGAAGGATGAAGAAAATTCTCCCTCGGGCTCCCAAGTGAGTGTGCCAGGTGTGATTGCTATGCAAGAGGGG